CTTTTTATTTTTTTCCATTATGGTTTATCATAGGGTATCAAATATAGTTACCCATGCTATACAATAGAACCTTGTTGTTTATCCATTCCATACATAATAACGTAACGTCTGCTAAGCCCAACCCCCTCCCCCTTGGCAACCACATGTCTGTTCTCTATATCTGTGAGTCTGTTTCTATTTCACAGACACATCCATTTGTGTCCTATTTTAGATCCCACATATAAGTGATATCATATGGGATTAGTCTTTGCCTGACTTCACTTAGTGTGATCATCTCTAGTTGCATCCACGTGTTGCAAATGGCATTACTTTGTTCTTTATATGGATGTGTAATATTCCATTGTGTGTATACACCACATCTTCTTAATCCATTCATCTGTCAATGGACATTTATGTTGGCTCCATGTCCTCGCTCTTGTAAATCCTGCTGCTATGAACATAGGGGAAGATGATGATGATGAGATGATGTTAGTCACTCAGTTGTGTCCAACTCTTTGCGACCCCATGCACTGTAGCCCACCAGGCCCCTCTGTCCATGGCATTTCCCGAGCAAGAATACTGGAGTGGGTTGTCATTCCCTTCTCCAGGGGATCTTCCCAACTCAGGGATCAAACCTGCATTTCCTGTATTGCAGGCTGATTCTTTACCATCTGAGCCAGCAGAGAAGCCCACAGGGGCCAGATGCACATTCTTTATTTCAGATCTACACTCCTCCCCACCTCTTAAAGTGAGAGCAGCAAGGAAGAAGCCGAGCAGGAGGCAAAACGCATATGCGTGACTTTTCACCACAGGGACCCTGATCTTCAAAAGTGCCCAACCCAGTGGTTCTAACTCTGAAGTATCAAATTAGATTCCCTTGTCGTGGGCAGGGGTGAGACAGAGAAGGAAAGGTGAGAGGCATTGCTGGCAGGCAGAGGAAGAAGGAGCTGCGACCAAAACTCTCAACTGAAGCTACTTTCTTCATACTTGTTTAACTTAGAAGTCGTTCAGCCGTGTCCGACTCTTTGAGACCCCCACGGACTGTAGGCTGCCAGGTTCCTCCATCCATGGGATTTTCCAGGCAAGAACACTGGAGTGGGTTGCCACGTCCTTCTCCAATTGTTTAACTTACAGTCTCTGTTTAAATCAGGCCAAAGTCCTTTTGTATTCACATTCATGAGAGAAAACAGGCTACGTTCATAGGGTGGTTCATATGAGTTCCATCTGAGATTTCATTACTGGTGTAGTAATGACATGGGATTTCTGGTTTATTGGGAGTTTGGGGGGGGGGGGGGTCCTGCCACTCTGTTCCAGTCCTTAGAGATCCAGGATAATGTCTGCTTCATCTTTATAACCCCTAGAGTTCTAGAACACACCCTGTGCTTCATACGCATTTCTGGAATTGAAACTGATAGGAAATTGAGAAATTGATAGGCAGAGGCTGAACTCCTTAAACAGATCATTGGTAGTCCAGATTCACCCCTCCCTTCTGGGATCTAGTTAGAGACCCTTGGAGATCAGAGCACAGATGCCATCACAGGGGTCGCCAAGCAGAACTACACGAGTCTCCCTGAGCTCACACACGTTTCACTGGCCCCAGAGGTGGATTTACAGGGAAGGCAATGGGGGTCCCCCAACTTGCACTGGACGTATGGGTACCTAGAGAATCTGCGAATTCTCCAGAGTTCCAGGTGGGAAAGGGAAGCCAGGTTGTAACTGGTAAACATTTCTGTGTTGCCATTGCCGGTCAGTTGACCACGCATCTCAGAAGACTTGAATCACTCCAGGTCACAAGGGTAGCTTAGATTCAAATGGAGATCTCCCTGGCAGCTCCTGTCTCTCCCCTACATCACATCACATGCCAGGCTCCCTCCAGGCCTCAGGGGGAGAGCAAGTCCCCCGAGACGTGCAGCCGCTGTGATCAAATTGCAAGACAGAACCTTGGGGTCTCCGGTGCTGTGTTAATCCGCTGCTCTCAAAACTCAGCAGCCTGGAAGATCAGCTTCCCTCGGGACATCCTCTTTTAAATTCCACCAAAAAAAATTTTTTTTCTTTTCTTTTTTTTTTTTTTAGAAAAATTGTTTGCATAGAGTGGGGGAAGGATGAGCTTCTATATGAGCATATTTATGTCCATAGATATTCCATGACATAGGCTGTATAAATCCCAGAGAGCAGATGTCAGCAGCTCCACACTCAGATGGGAAACTTAAGGAAGGCTACAGTTACTAGTATTTCTTAAATGTATTCAAAAAAGAAACTACACTCCCAGACACACATACACACTCACACACACCCACACTCTCTCTTTCTCTCTGTCTCTCTCTCCCTCGCTCAGGCCTGCAGAGGAAAAACAATCTACTCCTGTCCAACTCATCTGGGTCAGGCAGACCCTTATCCCGGCTTTCACTGCAAGAAGAGTTCTCTGCCAAGTTGCCATGTATCTCTCTTCAGCTACACAACCCTCAGGATAAAAATCTGTTTGGCTTTTTTTTTTTTTTTAATGTGACTCAGAATAGTTTTTTCTCTACTCAGATAATTTAGCAGCATTCCTTCTTCCACCAATCTCTCCCCTGTTGAGTACCTCCCTGCCACAGGCATCTCAAAGCTGGTCAGGGTTCTTCCAGGCCCCAGGGCATCTCTATTTCCCAATCTCCCTCCCCTTGACCTCTTTTCATTGAAGATCAGGAGCCTCAGGTTCAACCAAGGACGAGAACATGCTGGTAGGGAAAGTGGTCACTTTGTGTCACAAATAACATAATGCCACTACCCCCTATGTTCACCTCTTAACCCCAGGAATCTGTATTTTCCATCACATGGTGAAGAAGAGTTAAAGAATGCATGTGGGGACTTTCCTTGCAGTCCAGTGGTTAAGATTCTGTGCTTCCATTGCAGAGGGTGTGGGTTTGACCCCTGGTTGGGGAACTAAGTTCCTACATGCCATGTGGCACGGCTGAAAAATTAAAAATTTTTTTATTTGCTTCCATATTTATTTCCTTTTAAAATGAATTATATTTGCGTGCTCTTTACCGACTTTTTCTTTTTTCAAAAAAGTATTTTTAATTGAAAGATGATTGGTTTACAATATTGTGTTGGCTTCCACCATGTATCAACATGAATCAGCCATAGATATATATATGTCCCCTCCCTCCTAAACCTGCCTGCCACCTCCCACCCCATCCCAACCCTCTAGGTAAAATTAGATAGCCAGTGGAAATATACTGTATGATGCAGAAAGCTCAAATCTAATGCACTATGATAACCTAAAAATTTTTTCTTAATATTATTAAAAAAAAAGATGCAGGTGGAATTAAGATTGATAATCAGCTGATCTTACCACAGGGTTTATCCAAGGTGGGCCCAGTATAATCACAAGGTCCTTAAACGTGGACGAGGGGGACAAAGGGGAGAGGGCAGAGCCATCTCACATGAGAATAACTGGGCCCATCAAGATGACTTTGAACTTGAAGAAGCCACTAGACATAAAACATGGGCGCCCTCTAGAAGCTGGAAAGGGCAAGGAAACAGTTCTCCCCTAAATCTTCCTTAAGATAAGGTGGTCCTGACAAGACTGGGAAGTTAGTGGGGTGAGACCCACTGTGGACTTGTGACCACCAGAACTGCAAGATAATAAATCTGTGTTATATGAAATTACTCAAGGTGTAATTTATTCCAGCAAGACTAGGAGACTGAGGTCTTCTGCAGGAGCGTGTGGCACAGAACCTGAGCTGCTCATGAGCTCATCCTTGGAAAACAGGCCTCCAGGGACAGGACCCTAGCTCCAAGAGGAACAAGGACCCGGCTGCTCTGCCTCTCTGATGTGTCAGGAGTCAGATGGTCTATTCCAGAAGACCTCAGTTATGCAAACTACTGGTCAGATCCCAAGAACCGGAGGATCTGGGCAAGGCCCAAACTCAAAGCATTACAGGTTGTCCCAGGAGCTATAGTCACATCAGGTCTTCACCTGTCACCCACTTATCTTGGAAGGGTTTTGCAATCTCAGACAATAAGCAAGCATGTAACAGATGCTACTTCGAGGTCCACATGCATAGAACGTTGCAGATAAATTCAACCCAACGCTGTATGTGTATATAGTTTAGTTTTTATTTTCTGTGCCTAACAATTAAGCAAACTTCTTCAAGTCTTGAGAGCAGGTTTCATTTACAGAGGCGCCCACCACATCTGACACATTCTGGATGCGCCATCCCTCGGGGTCGCAATCGAGATGGATTTGCCCCTAAGGAAGGAGGGACTCCCTCCTGGGAAAAGTCAGTCTTTACAACCTGAACCCAAGCCCAGCTCCGACATCCCTCTGCTCCCGAGACTCTCCCTCCTTGAGCCCCGCCCAAGGGAAAGAAGAGCTTCAAAGGGCTTCCAAGTCTTGCCTCTCCCCCTGGAGGGAGAGCATTGAGCCCCAGCTGGATCTGCAGCCATTCTGACTCCCAGAAAAATGAAAAGCGTTTCGTTTTTTCCGTGGACCTGTGTCCAGGTTTGATACGGGAACTGCGGGATGTTTATTCGGTCTCTGCTTCTGCAGACGGGGAGAGAACATGCGGACCCTGGGAACGCTGGGATCCTAGGTTATTTGTCAGAGCGCCGTGCGCCCCGGGAGCGCGGGAACGCAAGTGTCCCCCTGGGGTGGGACACACCCACCGCCTACAGTCGTCCCCGCCCCCCCTCCCCCCCCCCCCGCTCCCGTCTCCCAGGCTGCGGGCAAGGAAGGCCTCCTCCCCGGGGGTCCCCACCCTCCCACCTGGCCCTCCCACCTACGCGCCCGGCTCCGCTCCCCTCCGTCCCCCCACCCCGGCTCCGCTCCCCGCCCGCGCCCCCGCATCCCTGCCTCCCACCCCCGCGCAGGCCGAGTCCAGAGCCGCTCCCGGGACTCCGGCGGCTGCGAGCCCCGGGCGCCGCTCGCTGCTCCTGATTGGTTGAGCTCCTGTCAGTAGTAAAAAAGGATCAGATAGCAAACTGGGGACCTTCATAAAGGCGTGGTGGGGTGGGGATGCTCGAGGAGCGGGCAGCCTATGACATCAGCCGCGCACGCCTGGGATGCCCGCGGCGCCCGGCCAGACCCCGAGGAGGCGCAGGGTCCCGCCGGCCGAGAGCGCAGTAGCCCCGCTGCGGCGAGGGGGGAGCCGCCGCTTTCCGGGGGAGAAGGGTTTCGGTCCCTGGCCGCCGCTGTAGTCCTACCCGGGGGAGCTCGCGGCGAGTTGGATGAATTCCGGGTTGTTCACTGCGGTCAGCTGAGCTCCCGGGAGCCCGTTCCTGGTGGACATCAGGGGGCGTCTGGCTAAGGGACCAGCGGCTCTCTGAGACTCAACTCAACATGACACTCCTGGGGTCTGAGCACTCTTTGCTGATTAGGACCAAGTTCAGATCAGGTAGGGCGGACACTGAGCGTTCCTTCTCCAGCTCTTCCTCCTCTTCTCCGTCTCAGCTGCACACCGCTTTCCAGGGCACGTTTCAGAGCCCGCCTTGGCTCCTGCCCCTCTGTCCCCCAGAAGCACATTTGGGAAGTCAAGAATTTTATTAGCTTTGGGGGAGCGGGGGTGGCTTTCATCTCTTCTGTTGTCAATGCTTTGAGCCGCAGAGCGTGGTTTGGTTTGTGAGAAGGCCAATCCTTTTATTTTTGTCTCTGTATCTATGACTAGAAAAAAAAAATGGGGGGGTGGGGGTGGGGGGAGAGGGGGAGGGTGCATCCAAAAAGGAATAACCTTGAAAATGAGCTCTTGGGAATTTCAGGTTTGAGAGTTGAGAACTGTGAGAAGATGAACCTGGTGCTGGGCATTACATACAGGAGCCACTTCAAATGTAGCTAATCCAAACAAATGTATTTCCCAAAAAAAGTCACTTGGGGAAAGTAAAAATAGCAAATTTGGAGCTCACCAAGTATTCAAAATGACATCACTGTAGGAAAAAAAAAAGTCTAGTGCCACAAATATTTTTTCCCAAACCATCCGATATTTATAAATGGAGACTTTCCCCCCCAAATTTCTGTCCCGATAGAGAAACTTCTCCGAGGACACTAAGGGAAGGTGAGTGGGGGAGGAGATCGGGCCTTTAAACTGCCCCTCAAACAGGCTGGCGCGTGTGCTCGCCCCTGGAAGAACTTGGTATGCAAGTCTGCACACTGAGGCGGGGACAGTTCTTCAGTTCTTTCTCAGCAGCTCTATGTGGAATATTGGTTTTAGAAAAGTGGGGACAAACTGCTCAATAAATGGCACAGCTTCTGCCTAGAAGATGCCATGTCTGCATGCTCAGTCGCTCCAGTCATGACCGACTCTTTGCAACGCTGTGGACTGTATCTCGCCAGGCTCCTCTCTCCATGGGATTCCCCAGGCAAGCATACTGGAGAGGGTTGTCATGCCCTCCTCCCAGGGATCTTCCTGCCCCAGGGATGGAACCCGCACCTCCTGCATTGGGAGGCCTGGGTTCTTTACCACTAGTGCCACCTGGGAAGCCCAGAAGATGCTGTGAGTTACTTTAAACTGTGATGTGAACATTTCCCGTAACAGGTGTTATAAGGATGCTGGCATAGTTTGCTAAGTTTTCCATAGCCTTTCCACATGGGACCACTCAGCATGTCACTCGGAAGGAGGTTACAAAATATGAGAAGAGTGGATGCTGTAAAGTAGGGTCCTCTGGGACCTCCTTAGGTGCTCCTGGCTTTTAGATGTCTGTGGGATCCCATGGAGATTTTCTATGGCTCTGTACTGTCAAAGCGAGGTAAAAACTTGAGAACTTAGGCTCAAGACAAAGCGCCCTGAAACAAGACTCAGCGCCCTAAGAGCCGGGGCGAGTCTGTGAGGCACTAGGTCCTGCAGTGAGTAAATCCATCCTTTCCGTAGTGAGGTGAGGTGCCTGGTCCGTTAATCTGCTAGAGACAGAGAGACACAGCCACCACTTCGCATTTTGCTCAGGACCGCAGGGCAACACTGCCACCTTTCTGAAGAACAGAGGATGTGAGTTTGTTTTGTGAGAAGCTCCACACATTTCAGATGCACCCTCACCCATTTCCTGTAGGGCCAGGGAAGGGCCTGGTTTGTCTCTGGATGGATTTGGGGATGTACTTGATAGTAGAATTTTGAAACAGGCTTGTCAAACGATGCTTCCTTCAGCTGCAGTGCAGAGGAGAGTCAGACGGCTCTCCTAATTCCTGCCTTGGTGGGTTGGTGGAGTCCTGTGTCTCCCAGGCAGACCCTCCAGACCTGGACCCTGGAGCTTCTGAGAATTCCAATGGCAGCCTCACTTTGGTTGTTTGTTTGTTTAACTTGGACATGCTTTTGTGTCACAGAAGGTGTTGCTTTGGGAAAACTTGCTATCAAAGCAGACAAAGGCAGGCTTAGTCTTCTAACTTCGATAAACAGAGAAACAGAGGGTCTGAAAATGGACAAAGTGGTTTGGTCGTCTGAGATGTAGGGAGTTGATGGTGTCCTGAAAGATAGAAAAGAAGATAAACTGAATGTAAAACTAAGTAGACATCATTTTTCTCATGTGGTTATTCTTCCTGGAGCTCATTACCTCTGTAGCTGCAGGAACACAGAAGCCTGGCTGGCAGCAGGGGAGCATAAGGGCCTCTTCAAGAGTCCTCGGTTTACTTTATCGCTAACAATGGATCAAGGAACCTCTTCTCTGTTTTGATTTCTCTCTCTCACTCTCTCTCTTGTTTTCTTTTTTTTCTTCTTTTCCTTTTCTTTCACAAACTGCTCAAAATGTAAACTCATAAAACTCTATCTCACTGCTAATGTTTGCTTTGATAGTAGATTCTGGTGTGTTTCATTTAAAATGTTTCAAAAAGCAAAGGAAACAAAATTGTTCTCTGATCATAGTAAGATGGTAGGACTGGTTTATAAGGCAGCAGATAACTGTTTCCACTCTGAAACTAACATTATGGTAACAGTTTCCAACTGTCTTTCTATAAACTATATTTGAGTGACCTTGTTATTGAACTGCAAAGTCTGCTACCGGAGCAATAAACATGAAAGTTTACATGGACAAACATGTTTAGTGATCTAAAATCCTACTGGAATGCCAGACTCCCTGGGTTTTTAGCAGGTACCTCTTCTTATCAGCTGTATAACCTGAAACCTTAGATAAATTACATAATTTTCTGTGCCTCAATTTGTTTTGTTTGAATAATGAGAAGAATCATAGGATTGTTGTGACAAATGTGGTAATATAAGTAGAGCATTTAAAAAAATGCCTGGCACTTAGTAAGCCCACAAAAAAATACTGTTCTATTATTCACATTCATTTACAGGGTGGTCCTAGGCTTGTCAGTTCTTCCCTGTGACTCTTGGTTGCTTCATCTGTAAATGTCTAGATTGGGCTAGGTGATTTCTCCCACCCTTGAGAAACATTTTATGGTTCTGTGAAAATGTAAAGATTGGGAATAACTAAAATTGTGATCGGGCTGTGTGTTAGTTGGGCATACATCATGGACAGTTTACTTAAGTGCAGTCATTTTAGTGTTGTTTTTGAATTAACCACATTTTCTTGTATTTCATCTTCTAGTTGTTGTCAGTATCTATAGTTGGTATCACTGCTGATAATCTTTGATTACCATAATCCTGTGCCAGTAAGACACAAGGACCCACATGTGTGCACACACACACGCGCGCGCCATGCACAAAGGATCAAAAGGAGAGAGACAGGTCCATTAGTGGGTTCCCCTTTTAAAGAACTATTGTGTTTCTTTTGCTTTGTTCTCTTTTCCTCTTCTTCCCATTCAGACAGCTCATACAAAGGTGGACTCTGGTTTCTGCCATGACCTTGACTCTATCCCTCAGAAATTTAGGGTTGTCAAGATTTAGCAAATCAAAATGCAAGGTATCTAGTTGAATTTGAGATAAGCAGTGATTAATTTTTTTAGCCTGTTACAACATTAGGAGTATACTTTCACCTAAACTGGACATTCTGCATTTTCTGTGGTAGCTGGGCTATAAAACTTTGTATATTCACCAAATTTAATTGGTCTCTTCAGATCTCATTTTTTTTTCATCGACAAAATAGAGGATTTGAGTGGTTCATCTCTGCAGTTAGTTTTTAAATTTTCCCAAATGAATAGCCCAAGTACTTTTATAAGTTTTGGTGACTATAAGCTTCATAAAAGCATCACTATGTCATTTTTTAACTGTCATGTCCTTGGGGAACCGGACATAGAATAGATGCTCAGTAAGTTTTTCTTGCGTGGATTGATGAATAATTCATACCTGCCATCTTTATAATTTGTTGGTTTCATTCAGTCACTAAATCATGTCTGACTCTTTTGTGACCCCATGGGCTGTAGCCCGCCAGGCTCCTCCATCTGTGGGATTTCCCAGTCAAGAATACTGGAGTAGGTTGCTATTTCCTTCTTCAGGTGATCTTCCCAACTCAGGGATAGAACCCACGTCTCCTGCTTTGGCAGGCGGGTTCTTTACCACTGAGCCACCAGGGAAGCCCTGACTTTATGATTAGCCCATTATTATTCTAAGGTTATTCTGAAGGCAGTCTTTTCAATTGCTTCATATGTTCAGTATTCTTTTCATAATTTGGTATTTTGCGAGAACAAAACACCATAGCCTAGGTAGCAAAACAACAGACATTTAATTTCTCTGGGGGCTGGAAGTCCAACATTACCATCATGGTAATTTTCTGGTCAGAGTTCTCTCCCTGGCTTGCAGACGGTCACTTTCTCACTGTGTCCTCACATGGCAGAGAGGAAGACAGGCAGATAGACAGTGAGCTCTCTGATCTCTTCTCACAAGGACCCTGATCTCATCATGAGGGCCCCACTATTGAGTCCTCGTCTAAACCTAATTATTCCCAAAGGCTTCATCTCCAAGGACATCCCTGATGGTCCGGTGGTTAAGACTCCAATCTCCTAATGCAGAGATTCTGGTTTGATTCCTTGTCAGGAAACTAGATCCTGCATGCTGCAACTGAGTCCCAGCCAGCCAAATAAGTAAAATAAATAAACCAAATCTGTTAAAAAAAAAAAACTGTCACATACAGAGGTTGGGGCTTCAGCATGTGAATTTGATATGTGGTGGATATGTGGGGGGCACAGTTCAGTCCATAGGAACAGCTAAGGTCACATACTCATAGGTCCCAGGGGTTAGGATGTGAACATCTCTGGGGAAGGAGACATTATTCTGTCTATGACAGTAGCAGCCACTATGCCATTCCTCACTGTAACCCTTCCACATGTCTCAGTCCTACAGACTGTTCTTCAGCCCTTTTCCCTGCATATGGATTATCCAGCCTTAATCCCATTGTTGTCTGCAGGGTGGTCCCCAGAAGACTCATTTCATAGTATGTTAAAGTTGTTCAGCAGGAAATTCAAGGGGCACAAGGGCTTCCTTGGTGGCCCAGGCATTAAGACTTCACCTTCTAATGC